GGTGAATTGGCACTTGGTTACTTATACAGCCAGCAGGCGGGCGGGCGGGCGGGCAGGCAATCCGACAACAGCACTCAGCGGCCAGGCCACGCACCCAAAGAAGCGGTCGGGCAGCATCATCATCTGGCGGGCGGCGGCGAAAAAAGAAACATCCGCAAAGGAAGAGGTTTCCATCGCCGATTGGATTGATGCAGGTGTGGTAGGTCACTGACTGACACCATGCCCACAATGGAGAGATATGGGTGCAGTGCATTGGGGCGTTTGCATTCGTCTGTCTCCTCCGTGTGTGTCTGTACTGTACCGCCATTGTCACTGTGTGTGTAGGGTGTCAGTGTTGTGTGTCAGAGGTCTCCCTCTCCGGTGCTGAGGATGGCCTTGTGGTTGAAGGGGGCGAACTTGTATCCGTCTCCCTTGTAGAATTTGTTCTGGAACTCCACCCACTGCAGCCGCAGGGCGTGCAGGAAACACTCGAGCACGTCCATACACAGCAGCACCCCGAAAGTGATGGCCGCAAACACCGCGAAGCCGAAGAAGAGCTCCACGGCTCGCAGCACCACGTTGGCGTCGCTCTCGATGAAGCCCAGGATGGCCTTCTCGAAGAAGACCAGGGCCAGCTGCTGGTGCGCCAGGGAGAGGGCCCACAGGCGGAGGTAGCTGGCGGTGTTGGAGATGGTCCCCAGGACGTACTCGATGGTCTCGATGACCTGGTGGATGAACTCCTCGCTGAAGTTGAAGTGCTCATGCTCGTCCTCCTCGTCATCGTCGTGGTGCTCGCCCTCCCCCCGCTCCTCGTCGTCGCCGTCGTCATGGTGCACTGTGCGGGGCGGGTGCATCTTGTGCCAGATCAGCAGCCCGATCGGCTTGGGGAACAGCATCACCGGGATGGAGATGGCACAGAGGATGAGGAGGATGTTCTGGATGGTCTCCTGGCCGCCGAAGAGCTGCTCGCTGGGGTCGATGGCGGAGCCCTTCATGGGTGCGAGGCACATGTTGATCATGGTGTTGATGAGGCCCGGCTTGTTGACGGCCTTGACGGAGGGGTCGAGGTCCGCCTGGAGGGGGCCGGGGGTCATCCACTTGAACACGATCATGAAGTCCATGTACCCGAACAACGCCACCAGGAAGATGATCTGCGGCACGAACCTAACAACACAACACAGGAAAGTCACCGATGTCAATCTGCATGTGTATGCCGCTCCATGTGTGTGTGGCTCTTGCTTCTCTTTCTCACTCGAAGAAGAAGTCCAGCGGTTTGGCGAAGTGTATGGTGTTGAATGCCTTGAGGACCACCCCCAGGCCCATCTGCGCCACCCCCACCAGCACCGCAAACTTCATCTTGTACGAGTTGAGGAACAGCAACTCGTTCTGCGCCCCCTTCCACGCCCAATCCAGACCGAACGGCGTCGGCTTGCTGCTCGGGTCGATCTGCCACTCGACAAACTGCGTCTGGGACGCCCCGCCGCCCTCCTCGCCGCCACCGTGCTCGCCGCCGCCATGGTGTACCCCCGGTGGCTCTTTGAAGTGGCTGGGTGCGAGGACGAAGCCGATGCTCAAGAAGTCGTTGTAGATGAACCCGGCGTATGTGGCGAAGAAGCCCATGAGGGCGATCATGTATCTGGCGGCCACCATGCCCTTGAGCGGCCCGTCGCCCCGCTTGAGGGAGTCGGCGAAGATGAGCAGGTACATGCCGAAGAGCAGGACGCAGGCGCCGTGTCCGATGTCGCCGTACATGACGCCGAAGAGGAATGGGAAAGTGATGATGGTGAAGAGCCCGGGGTTGGCCTCCTGGTAGCGGGGGATGCCGTACGTGTCGACCAGCTCCTGGAAGGCGTAGCTGAACTCGGTGCGGCGGATGTAGGTGGGGGGCGTCTTGGTGGTGCGCTCCTTGTCCGACAGCAGGAAGGCCGACACCTGCTGCTTGTTGGACTGGGACAGCAGCAGGTGCCGGATCATGTCCTCCTCTGCAGAGGGGTACCAGCAGTTGGCTCGCAGCGTTATGTCACCCTGACCAACACACACACCACACATACACACACACATGTGCTGTGTCCATCCATTTGTCCGTCTCTTTCTCTCTCTCTCTCTCTCTCTGTGTGTGTGTGTGTGTGTGTGTTGCTGACCTCAAACATATTGAGCGTGGCGTAGATGGATTTCTCCTTCTGGCAGAAGAGGCGCCACTCCTCGATGCGCGAGCTCCTGAGCTCCTCCAGGTCGGCCCCCTCGGGCGGCGGGCCCCCCGGCACCTCCAGTAGGTCGCGGATCTCACCGAGGATGTACTGCTCAAACGCGTCCAACGCCTTGGCCTTGTCCTCGATGGTCGTGGTCAGGTCCTCGATGCGCGAGACGGCGTCGTTGTACGATGCTGGCCAGGGGTACATGGACACGCCGAAGGCGTTGCACACCTTGGTCAGCTTCTCGTACATGGCGCTGCTCTCCGCACCCTGATGGATGGACACACACACAGCCAGACAGACAGGCAGAGAGGTGAACGATTCGGGTGCCTGCAGGTGTGGTTGTTGCCCGCTCCCTCCCTCGCTGCTGCTTACATACCTGGTAGTAGACGACAAAGACGGACTTGGCGACCTCCTTGCCGGTCTTGGCGTCGTAGATCTTGTCATTAATCATCTGGAAGTGGGTGAAGGTGTTGCCACGGGTGACGCGGAACAGCGTCCTCGCAAAGCGCTCCTGGTCGGCCTGGTTGATGACGCCAGCGATGTTGCTGAAGGCCATGGTGTCGTCGACCAGGTGGGGGGCCTCGATGTGCGCCTGCAGCAGCGACTGCGTGGCGTGCTCGGTCTGTCGGCGTGTGGGCATGGTGCCGACGCCGCCCATGACGCCCCCCTCGTGGAGCGATGCGAGTGCGGCCATGGCCACGTATTTCTCCTCTATGGCGTTGTTCTTCTCCGTCAGCAGGTCGCTGTTGTTCTCCTTGAACCGGGAGAACTGCTCGTACAGCCGCTTGAGGCTGTCCTCGACCTGGTCGAGCTGGTAGGTCTCGGTGTCGCTCTCGAGGAAGGCCTCGACGGACCCCTTGGTGACGTTGAACTCGTGCCTGGCGATCTCCTCATGCAGGAAGCGCAGGATGCGCTCCATCTCCTCCAGCCGCTGGATGTACCGCTTGTACTGACGCCGCATCGTCCGCTCGTTCATGTCGACAAACTGCACGTTGGCCTTGCGCCCCAGCAGGTCGATGAAGTGACGCGCACGCTCCGACGGCAGCACCAAAGTGCCGTGCTTCATCGTGTCGCTTCGAAGGATACCCATGGCCGCCAGACGCACCTCACCGATGACGGGGCAGCTAAGGGGGCTGACTCAGGCTCTCAGGCACGAACAAATGCCGCTCGCTGACGACGGCGGCTTCAGTAGAGGGAGAGAGGGGGCGCAGGCGGGAACGTTGCTTGGCCCAGCGACTGTGCGTCAGTGGCGCCCGTCTTCCTTGAGTAGAATAAACATACTGCCCTCCTTCAGTTGCTTCGAAGCCAAGCACGAGCTCAGGGAGGCGAGCTGGTGCGATCCCGGGAAGAGCGGCAGAAGGGATGGGGATGAGAGGAGAGCCTTCCATCCTCTGTTGAAGACGGTTGAGCCATCCATGGGTTAACAAGCCATCACAACTCATCCATCTCGCAGCGGCCCTCAGCGGCTTGTGCAGGCATGGCGAGCGCACCTTCCTCTACACCAGCCAGCCCGACAGAGGCCCTCGGTAGCGTGCTGGGCAGCGTGGAAGACCTGCTGGCAGGACTGGACCTCGACAATGCGGATTCGTTTGATCGCACCTTGGAGGTGCTGGCGGACTATGCGCGGGGGGTTTGTTGCTGCAGCTACTACGCTCTCCCTCGTGCGCAACAAGCTTGCCACACCGCGCATGATGCTTGGGCTACAAAACTTCTGGGCCATCAGCCATTCCTGCGACTGCTGCTCGCTGCCTTTGAGGATGTGAGTCACGCAACACGCCACCATGACGCCGAGGTTGTCCTCGACGCCCTACTGCACAAGTCCTCCTTCCCTAATGACACCTCTCTCCTCATGGCGACCCTCAAGCTCGTTGCAGCCGTCGGCTCTGCTGCCACCCTCTGCAACCGCATTGCTCGTATTGTGACGGGCAACGACACGCTATCCAACAGGACGGCAGCGACATGCTTCCGGATCCTCTGGCAGGCGCTGCAGGTGGTGGCGGATACGAGTGCGTCGGTCCCGGAGCAGACAGGGCATCAGGCTGTGGGGCGGCTGCGCAACGGACTGATCGAGCAGCATCCGAGGGCGGTCAGCAGGGCGATCTCCATCCTTAGGGACGACGACGCGAGTACCTTCATGTACATGATGATCCGACCGCATGATGGCCTCAAGACGCCAACCCCGAGCCCCACAGTGTGGATGCCGCTGTTTGGTGCAGTGGTCAAGTCGGCGATGGAAGAGCAGGAGCTACGCTACTTCTCAACGAATCTCTTAGCGACAGTTCACCAGGACGTCAAACTGGCGGGCGCAGGTCAGTGGAGCCGACCACAAATTCGATGGTTGGGTGGGTAGGAGGACTGACGTACGTGTTCGTGTGGTTCTCCATCTGTCAGGTGCCAGTGAGGTTCGCGACGAGCACCTCCAGGCCATCCGTGATCACATCTTCTGTCATACCGATCACCTGGTGACCGTCTTGACCTCCCGAGATGCCTCGCAAGACCACCGCTTTGCCGCCGCTGTCCTCTGCGGCTATATCTTCCGCTTTGGCCAGCTCCTCTTCGTAAAGTCGAAGGGTTCGGAGGGCAGGCCGCAATACAAATGGACAGATAGATATCTATCTTTTCCTCTGTTCCGTGCTGCGTCTGTGTCGTGCAGGTGTGGAGGGGGCCGCCCGCCAGGTCGCATCCATCGCTGACGGGCCGGTGCAGACTTTCCACGCCAACCCTTCGGCACTGAAGCGTTTGAACAAGGTCATCAGGAAGGGGCCATCGCAGGCGATATTGGTTGACCCGAATACCAAGCAGGACGTTGGCAGAGACAATGCCTCCTGGTGTGCACTCGAAGTGGCGGCGACTTTCTCAGGTGAGTGGGCGGTATGGAAAAAGCTTCCCACTCGTGTGCAGGTTTGCTCTTGTTTCTTGGGATGCAGACATCGGCCATCGCACCGCGGTGTTTGAGTCGGGATGCATCAGCACCATCGTCAACCTGGATGGGCACATCATGGCCATTGACCTGCTGCCCAGCATCGTTGGGTCGCTGGAAGACGCCAACTACGCCAAGGTAGGTGAATCACCACCACGAGTGAGTGCAGCCGATCGATGACTTCATCCATCCTGTGTATCCCAGGTAGCCGTTGACGGTGGTGTTCCGCGCTTCATGTGCCACCTGGTGACCCGCGTCGTGAGACACCACCTCGGCGAGGCGCCAAGATTCTGCGTCGAGAGGTTCTTTGCCTGGTTCAAGACCGCGATGATGAACATGGTCGAGTGGGGAGAGCGCGCCGTGTCGGGAGGGCCAAACACCGTCACACATGACGTCCTTCAGGTGGGTTGGTGTGTGGGTGCTTGATGCCTCCCTCCTTGCTGGCAATCTTGTACACGTGTCCTCCCAGCTCGAGCAGGTCAAGAACATGCGCCAGGCCAGGCCCACGAAAGGCAGAAAGAGCACCCAATACGCAGCCACGCCGCAGACGGTAAGCATGCTACACGCCGCAGCGGCAAAGGCGACATCTGCTTGGGTCACCTGTGTGCATGACCTGATTTGTTCCCCTTCAGTTGCTGGATCTGTTTGACAGCATGGAGGAGCGCGAGAACGCCAGGGCGGATCGGCTGATGGCTGGGCTGGAGGACGGTCGTGCTGGCGGTCGACAAGGGGAGGACGAGACGCAGGCGAAGGGCAAGAGGAAGAACAGAAACAAGAAACATAGGAGGGGCAGGGGCGGCACAGGGACTGCTGGCACTACATCGCAGTAAATGATGAGATAGATAGAAGACTACCCACAGCACATGTCGGTCGGTCCCTGTGTGTCGTCCATTGGCTCTCGCAGGTCTGTTGAGTCGGTGGCTGAGGACGGCGTAGAGCATCATGATGACGGTGGTGGCGACGTAGAGGACGCTGGTGCTGACGGCGATCACATAGCCACACGGCAGGAGAGGTCAGCACACACAACACAACACAGCCAAGCTGTCACCCCTCGCTAATACGTGCTGCATCCTCTCTATGTGCAGGCCCATGTCCGACTCTGCAGACACGACGCGGCCCTCTTCTCGTTCGTCCGGTGCTGAGCCTCTCCGGCCCCCCACCAAACCTCTGCAGGGCGACGGCAGCGACACGGCTGGGCAGGCCGGCAGTGGCCTGGGGGCCGTGTTGCGAGAGGGCCATGGTCTCGCTGCCCATTCGGCTTCGGTCAGTGGCCCGGTGGCCGCATCGGTCGGAGCTGGGCCGGCACTCACCCTGGCAGCCGACAAGGAACAACCACCACAGCAAGATGGAGACGACAGGTCCGCTGCGTGCCCCAGACAGGCATCTGCACCACGGCAGATGTGTCATTTGCGGGTTGGGTGTGCAGTGGGGATGAGGAGGAGCATGAGGCGCAGACCCAGATGGCCATCGCTGCATCGCTGCACGACGCCACCACCGCTGCCATGGTGCGCCCGCCATCCATGCCGCCCTCTTCATCGATGACGTCGGGCGGCTACGCCAGTGGCGCACCCGCAGCAGCAGCAGCGGCGTCGCTCGGGCCTCTGAGGGATGCGGTGTGCAGGGCTATAGAGGAGCAGCAGAGGTCAGCAAAGGATCGAGGGATGGATTGGCGGACGGTAAGCTGCGTCATGTGTGTGTCCATGTCACCCATTTGCAGCATGGAGCGTGCTTATGGCGAGGCGCTCGACCGGCACTCGACCATCATGGAACGGACCAACGAGCTCAACGCGGCCATAGGGGCACTCACAGAAGCCACGCAAGAGCAGCCAGACACGTACAAAGATGGAAATGAAGCGCTCTGAATCATCTTTACTGATTGCTGTTGTGCATCAGGTTGACTCGCGATGCGTTGAAAGCCCTGACGACGGCAGCGGAGGTCTGTGAGTTCGGCGAGAGGGTCACGCGCGAAGGCGAGCGGCTCGACCAGCTCTACTGTTGTGCGTGCGAGATCTCCCGCAGCAGCAGCAGCGACACACGTGCCGGCCACGGCAACGGGTCCCTCTTTGGCCGTCTGCCGTCCCACAACGATCGCATTCAAAGGTGAGTAACGACGCCACACACACACACACACACACACAGAAGTGATTGATCGGCACCCACTCAGGTCCTCGCGTCATGACGAGATAGCTGGCGAGGTCGATTCGGTGTCATCGGAGGGGCAGCTGCGCGAAATACTGCAGAGCACTAAGGCCAAGCTGCGACAGTGAGCACACACACGTACTAACGAGCAATTGAGTGTGTTCATACTGCCCCTTGGCTCTCCTGTAGGCTGGAGGCGGACATCTCGACGGTGACGGAGGCGACTGCGGCAGTCGAGGCGAAGACGCAAACACTCCAACAGCAACATGACCGCCTGCTACAGAGAGCACTCACAGGGTGGGTAGACAGACACGCACACAAACTTCGCCGCCAAGGCCTCCTTGTTGCGTGTGTGCAGCCTCACGGAGCACCGGCTGTCATCCCTCCGCTCCCCTGAAGATGTGGAGGCCTTCAAGCGCGACATCACCAAGGCCAGGGAGGCACTGCGGGCACTGGCGAGAGAGGCCAGCAAGATGGAGGGTCGGCTGGAGGACAGGGAAGCAGCGGCCGCCTCTGCTGCTGCGGCACCGCCGCCCCCTCCCCGTCCCATCTGCGGGATCTGCAACGACAGCCCGCCCACAGTGCTGTTCTATCCCTGTGGCCACCTGTGCCTGTGTGCCGATTGCTGGCAGCAGTGGAAGGGCAGACACGAGAGGGCCAAGGCCGAGAAGGAGCGGCTGGAGGGGGCGGGCCAGCCGGTGCCTGAGGAGGTGCGTCGGTATGCGGTGATGAGATGCCCTTCCTGCCGCAGTGAGCCCGAGAAGACCATCGTAGCCCACGTGCAGACGGACAATTGAGGAGATCAGACGGTGTGCAGATGATGTACAGGTGGTGGATGGTGGATGGGATGGTGGGGGATGCCAGCTGTCGACCGACTCACCATCGTCAGCCAGCCAGCCAGCGAGTGTAGCTTTCATTACATTTCATGTTATGTTCATACGAGACACATCTCACGTAAATGTCGTTGGATAGCCTCACGACATGGTCTGTTGGCACGTCACGCTTGATTGCAGTACATGACGATGTAGTGTCACTCTCACCCCAGCAGTCCCCGCCCCGCCCTCCGTTGGTCACTCAAAGTGCTACACTACACACACGTGTCTGCACTCGCATTCAGGAATTGGCTCCTCTCTGCAGTAGAAACATACTCAACCGAAGGCCTCTGGGTGCTCCGCGGCCCTCCTAACGACCTCCCTCAGCTCAGCAGCCTCAGCAGCCATCTCCTCACGTGTCCTCGTCCTGCATAACACCCACATCAACACCAATATCACGGACAGGGAATAACCAATCCTCTCCCCCTCCCACCGTCTCGTTTGCTGCTCTGGTTGGGGGTCGGGCGCCACACCATGGTGGTGGTGCTGCTGGCTCATCTGCGTCGACGACTGAGACGAGGGCGACTGGGCCTCACGGGCCGCCTGGCCGATGTTGGCGTTATCCAGTGCGTCGTAGATCTCATCGTTCTTGCTGAAGTCGCCCCTGTGCCTTGGGATGATGTGGACGTGACAGTGCGCCACTGTCATGCCGGCTGCCTCGCCGTCTTGGATGGCCATCGTCATGGCCTCCGCACCGTGGTGCCGCTCCATCAACATGGCCACCTTCTGCACACTCTGCCACAGGTCAGCCACTTCGTCAGCATCCAAATCCCGAAACCTCTGACGCCACACGACAAGCAAATCGACACGCGAGCAATGGAGAGGGGCGGCGAGCATTATGGGATGGGCCAATCGCATCGCATCGCACCTTCTTGACGGCTCTTGGTGTGACGAGCACGTGGCCGCTGAGGATGGGTTTGAGGTTGACAAAAGCTATGCTTCGAGGGCTCCAGAAGAAGACATTCTCCTTTGCAATGCGGAAGTCGCCGAAGGGGTAGGAATCGGCCATCTCCGACGTGCCGAGATGCTCTCTGAACGAATGCCTGCGCACAGACAGTCAGACACACAGACAGACAGACATGCAGCCACGGTGGAATGAAGGTGCCCACCTTGCCATGGTTCTTGTGAAGAGCCGGGACTGCCGCTGAGCGATGGGTGAGGCCCTCAACGCGACAAAGAGAGGCATAGGGGACACCGCACTGCCGAAGGCCGGAAGCATTTCATTACTTTATAGTCGAGGAATAAACAAACTCGGCAGGCACCCCTCGACACTGATTAACAGAAGCAAAAGGCTGTAGCAAGCCCTGGAGAACCGTAGAAGAGCGCGGGAGATGAGAGAGATCGCTCTCACAGCTCGCACCTCTCCTCGAAGGACGGCTGAAGGTTTGAGGAGTGTGGAGCACTCGCAAACAGCAGCCACATCAGCTCGTGAAGCAGATCTACCACCAAGTCGTCTCAACTCTCAGCACTTTCACAGCTCATCAGCTCATCCGCTCATCAGTTCGTCCATTCGTCCCAGCTCTGCCTCCGCTCCAGTCCATATCAGCAGCCCGCAGTCGATAGATCACCAGATCATCATGCCCGTGCAGTCGCTCCTCGACGCCTTCGAGAGGGCCAAGCAGGCCGGCCAGACGGCATTCGTCGCATACCTCACAGGTACGGTAGCACAGCAGCACAGCAGCACAGCAGCACAGACACACAGCACCCACACACACGAAGGTGGGCTCTGTGTGATGTGTGATGTGTGTGTGGTGTATGCAGCTGGGTTTGACAGCAAGGCTGTGACGGTGGATGCCATGCTGGCGCTGCAGCGGGGCGGCGCCGACGTCATCGAACTCGGCATCCCATTCTCGGACCCCCTGGCGGGTAGGCGAAGGACCGTGGAAACACACGGATAGACCCTGGCCCATGACTTACTTCCTCTGTGTGTGTCGGTCTGTGTCGGTCTAGATGGTCCGACGATTCAGCGTGCAAGCACTGTTGCGTTGCAGCGGGGCAACGACACCAACATCGACGACTGCTTCGATATGGTCACCAAGGCACGCGCCAAGGGACTCACCACACCGGTAGGAATGGCATTTATTGTATTGTATTGTATTGCCAATCACTCTGCCCTGCATCTGCGTCCATCCGTCCATCCATCCATCCATCCGTCTGCCTGTCTGCACTGGCTGCTTCTCCGTCCGTCCGTCCGTGCTGTCAGGTTGTGTTGATGACATATTACAACCCCCTGCTGGCCTACGGGCTGCAGTCGGTGTGCGAGCGCTCCGCTCAGGTGGGCGTCGACGGCTTCATCGTTGTGGACCTGCCGCCTGAGGACGCCGTGGCCTTCTTGGGACACTGCAAGGCGTCCGACCTCTCATTCATACCACTGATCGCACCCACCAGCACACAGGCCCGTGTGCAGCAGGTACACACGACACAACACAAACACAAAAAGACAAGACACACACGCACACACAGATCGTCACATGTGATATGTCAGTTGGCGGCAGCGGCGTCATCGTTCATCTATTGTGTGTCGCTGACGGGTGTGACGGGCACCCGCGACGCCGACACGTGGAACAGGATCACCGCCGATCTCAAGGACACTCTCAGCATCATCAGGCAATTCACCAAACTGCCCGTCGCTGTCGGATTCGGAATATCCAAGTGAGACAGACAGACAGACAGACAGACAGACAGCAACACATCCAGCAAGACAGCAGCCGACACGTTTGTTTACCCTTCTCAATATGTCTTCAGGGGCGAGCATGTGGAGCGGCTGGCCTCTCTGGGCACTGATGGCTTCGTCGTCGGCTCAGCCCTCGTCAACGCCATAGAGGGCGTGGCCGCCAAGGGGAGCTCTGGCGTCGCCGAGCGGTGCGCAGCCATCGAGGCCGTGTGCACCGATCTCAAGGCACACGCGGCGCGAACCGCAGCCCTCGCCAACGGTCAGCCACCGATGGCAGCCAACGGCGTCGCCCCCCAGTCGCCCACCGACCCGTCCAAGTGGTGTTTTGGCGAGTTCGGTGGCCGTTATATCCCCGAGACGCTGATGCAGGCGCACGAGCAGCTGGAGGCGGCCTTCAAGGAAGCCATGGCCAGCCCGGAGTTCCTGGCGGAGGTGGCGCGATACAGGAGGGAGTTCATCGGAGGGCCAACGCCACTCTACTTTGCCCAGCGGCTGACGGACCATGTGGGCGGGGCGCAGATCTGGTTCAAGAGAGAGGAGCTCGCACACACCGGGGCACACAAGGTGAGAGCCTGGAGGAGGGGAAAGGGCTGGCCAGGACTTGGCGTGGATGACTGACTTCTTGTGGACTGTTGTCTTGTTCCCCTCCCCCCTCTGCTGTGCTGTGTGATCAGATCAACAATGCGGTGGGTCAGGCGCTGCTGGCGATACGTCTGGGCAAGAAGCGCATCATCGCCGAGACGGGTGCCGGTCAGCATGGCGTCGCCACAGCCACCGTATGCGCGCACTTCGGGTGAGCCTCAGACGCGGACACGCACACCACGGCCATACCATACACCTCACCACTGCATCCATTAATCTGTTGCCGTTGGTTGTTGTCTTGTGTGGTGTGCAGGTTGGAGTGTATCGTGTACATGGGTGCGGTTGACGTGGAGCGCCAGAAGCTCAATGTGTTCCGCATGAAGATGCTCGGCGCACAGGTCGTCCCCGTCACATGCGGCTCACAGACGCTCAAGGACGCCGTCAACGAGGCACTCCGAGACGTAAGGAATCCCAACACAGACACAGACACACGCATGTCGGATGTACGTCTGTGTGTGTGGGTGTGTCATGACAGTGGGTGACCAACATCCGCACCACCCACTACATCATCGGCTCGGCCATCGGCCCCCACCCATTCCCGGACATCGTCAGGGAATTCCAAGCCGTCATCGGTACGTACGCAAACACACCAAGCACACACAAGGCCACTCCCTGCCAGGCCATCCATTCACTCACGCATCGCCCCTTTGCCTTCGTCCATCTCAGGTCGTGAGGCCCGTGCCCAGATGCTGAGGGAGGGTCCCTTCGCCAATGGGTGCGGCCCCGGGCGTCTCCCCGACACCATAGTGGCGTGTGTGGGCGGCGGGTCCAACGCCATCGGCATGTTCGCCCCCTTCCTGGACGACAAGAGCGTCAAGCTCATCGGTGTGGAGGCCGGCGGCGAAACGGGACCCGTTGGCGACAACCCCAAACACTCTGCCACGCTATCGGGAGGTGCGTCGTCAAGGCGGACAGACACACGTGCACATTCTTTGCACACGTGTATGCGCGTGTGTGTGTGTGTGTGTGTGTGTGGCGGCTCAGGCAAGCCGGGTGTGCTTCACGGCAACAGGACCTATTTGCTGCAGGACGTCCACGGGCAGATCATCGAGACCCACTCGATCTCCGCCGGCCTGGACTACCCTGCCGTCGGCCCGCAGCACGCAGCCCTCAAGGACAGCGGGCGGGCCGAGTACGTGTGGGTGACCGACAAGGAGGCACTCAACGCCATACAGACCTGCTCCAGGACTGAAGGCATCATTCCGGTAGGCAGCGTAGCGTAGCAGTCAGTGGATGGAATGGATGGTCGGATGACAAACGGTCTGTCTATGTGTGTCGTCTTGACCGTTCGTCAGGCGCTGGAGCCGGCTCATGCCATCGCTTACGTGATCAAGATGGCCAAGGACCTGCCCAAGGACCACATCGTGCTGGTGAGGGAGACTAACGAAGAACGCTCTCCACATATCAGCAACGAATCTCGTTCTCTCTCTCGCGCTCTCTGTATGTGTGTGTTGCAGCTCAACTTGTGCGGCCGTGGCGACAAGGATATGGTCACTGTGGCCAAGGCGCTGGGGTATGATGTCTGATGAGGTGCATCATCTCTGTGTGAGAGGCCCTAGTGCACACGTGTGTCGCCTTTTTGAAAGCTCCCCTCCTCGCGAGGAGACGCGGGCAAATTTCCAAGGGACTTGATGAGCTGATGTGGCGTGTCTGTACAGGCCTGCCTGGTACTGGCGCTCCCGACGTGTCTGTGTGTGTTTGTCCCAAGTGACGTGGCATGCGTGCATCGACGCGTGTGTGTGTGTATGATCGGACGGACGGACACCATGGTCTCGTTTTCAATTCTCGTTTTGGCTGGTCGATGGGAGTCCATTTCCCTTTCCTCTCACTCACTGCATTGACAGACCAGCCATGCACACGATCTGCAATGGCTACACACTTGTCCAGACCACAGAAGAACGCCGAAATCTCAGTTACTTCTCTTCTCACATACGTGTCTCTCTGTCTGCCCTCCGTAAGTCAGTCAGTCAGTCATCGGGTGTTTCTGAAGGGATTGAACGTCTTCCCCTTGTGGACAGCTGGGTCCTTGTAGGCGTCCTTGTACACCGTGCGGAAGTAGGACTTGATGGTGTCGACTGTCTTGCGCTCTTCGTTGCGGTCGATCTCCGCCTGCGTCTCGCGTTTTTTCTGGCGGTCCCACTCGCCCAGGACACTCACCAGGTAGTGGATGCTCAAGTGCTGACACATCAGGCAGACAGACAGAGGACAGACAGGCTGGCTGACAGAGACATGGCAATGATGGCGAGGAGGAGAGGCGCTTGCCTGGAACTCCTCCCCCGGGTTGAAGTACGGGGGGCCGAATTTGTCGAGGCCCGAGCAGCTGTAGTCTGTCAGCTTGGAGACAAAGTCGACAAACTCCTGGCGAGACGAGAACAGCTGCACAAAGAGAGACAGCAGCGACACAGCCCCTAATTCCTCCTCCCCCACCCACTTCATTGAATGCATGTCCCTACCTGTAGGGCCCTGCTCGTGTCGTCGATCTCGTGGTTCTGCTTGGTGTCCCACTCGCCCATCCTCACCTGGGCGATATAGTACCTCCCGTCATGCTCGTCATAACACAGGCAGTAGGCCTTCGGGTGCGTCGTCCTGGTCGACCCAAGCACACAGATCCTGCCCTCGGCGAGTCCGTCGGCGATTTGTGAGGCGAGCAGCTTGCCGAAGGGGACTTTGAGGAAGGTGTGCTGGCCGATGGTGATGGTCTGAATGTGCTTGTACCCACCGGCCACCTGAAACAAGTATGACAGACAAAGAACGGAGGCCCCATGTGTTCGTCCGCCAGCCTACCGGTGAGCTGAATGCCGTGGGGGAAAGCTGGAGGCGTTGCGTCACGAGCGACATTTCCTTTTGGTTATGTACAGGGTTAGGGCTCAAACCCCCTAGGGTTCCGCGTTATCACCACCGGAGAGGGAGAGGCTTGTGACGGACAGAGACGAGGAGGCCGTGATGGACACCGACCAGCAGCAGCAGCAGCAGCAGCAGGCCACGGCATCGCACACCACACACAGCATAGATCTGGAGGCCTTCGCACAGCAATTCAGCCAAGTCGTAAGATGCAGCAAACGAAGCACTGGCAGACACACACATCCTCATTGTCTGCTCTCTCTGTGTCTGTGTGGTGTCCACTCAGCCTGTTGTCGTTGCCTACGTCTTTTCGTTCGTGTCGCTTCATTTGGTGGCGGCGCTGCCCCAGCGGCTGTGGCGCCACGTCGGCTGCCAGATCACCCAGCTGGTGATGGACACCCACGACACGGCCGAGTGGCGCTTCTGGTGCGGCCTGTCATTCGCTGACGCCTTCGAGTGGGGCCGACGGCTCACACGGCTCAACTCCATCGTCGTCAAGTGCCCGAGGAGCCTCCGCATCCCAAGTGAAACTGCTGGCCTGTTCTACTACGATAACTACGACACTGTGCTGTCGTCCGTGAAAAAGGAGATCGTCACGGCATTAGTGGAGGGCCACATCGACGGGCTGAGAGCTGCAGCGGCCACAGCAGCGGGGCGGCAGGCGCCAACCACGTTGGAGTCCATCGAAATAATCAAGGGCGAATCGACTATAACCATCGACGAGGCCGAGGGCCGTGGTATCCGAGCTGCGACAGAGCCGTCAGCCCACCGCCTCCCGCCTCCCCTCGACCCGCCCCCCACCCTCACATCGCTCACATCCATCACCAAATATGGGTATTTCCATGGTCCCGGCCGCAGGCGGCACTGGCAGCTGCCGTCGCTCGAGAGGGTCCAGGTGGAGGGGAGGGTGTGTAACGATGAGGTGTTGGGGGAGCTGGTGGCCACGTCACGGCGCCTCAAGGAGCTGCACGTGGAATGCACTCCTGACACCATGGCTGGGTCGCTGAGGTGCATCCCGGTTCCGACGGCCGGCCAGCCGGGCCCTCTGTCACAGCTCGAGGACATCGGCACCCTCTGCGTGAGCGCTGAACGTCCTCGAGGGGGTGCCGAGGGTCTTGAGAGCCTCCAGGTAAGCAGTGAAGCACACAAGATTCACAAGGCCAGAGAGTGGGCGAGGGCTTCTTTGTGATGTGCGCGTGTCTGTGTGCAGAGGGTTCTCGTCGACCGTGGCTGCAGCTCCATAAAAAAACTCGGCGTCGAGCTGGACTGCTCCATCGACAGCTGCATCTTCGCGACCCTCTCGGCATCGAGGCCCTCAGGTGTGCCGTCTGTGTGAGCCCCGACATCCCCGTCGACATCAAGACCGACAGGGCCTTCGACCTGTCGCTCCTCTGCGACACTCCCACGCGCCCGGAGACCTCCCCCTTCGTGCAGAAGCACATACAGCAGATGGCAGCCAAAGCCCTCAGGGCCGACTTCTTCGTCGCACCCCAGCACTTCGCCAACGCACTCGACACGCCCAGCCCCGCTGCCATCGCACTCGCACAGTCCCTGACATTCCCCAGTGCGACGACCGTGGAGGTCTGCGAAGACAATTGGGAGCCCGAGGATGACGCCGAGCAGCCTGATGCGATTGTGATTGACAGCATGCCTCACAACGCATTCCCCACCGCATCGCGTCTGTCGATTTATTCCAGCAAGGTGCGTGCGAGTGGCCGCCGTCTGCTGACCAAGATGCCGGCGGTCAAACGCATTGACTTCCGGGAGTCGACAGAGGAGCAAGCTGTGGGGGTGCTGCAGGCGGTGGGCGGGGAGAGGGAGTTGGAGTGTTTTGAGGCCTGGTGGGTGACGGGTGTGGGTGAGGGGGGGCTGACGTGGGGGGACATGGCGGAGCAGCTGCCGACCATCGAACGGCTGGATGTTCGTGTAGAAGGTGAGCTGCAACAATCGCCTCCATTCAGATGGCAGCCCATTGCGTCCTGTATGTGCCCGTCTGTCTGGCTGTGTCACTGCAGTGCCTGACGATTTGGGCGATGGCGATGCCGCCGGTGAGTTCGGCATTGCCTGTGTCAAGTAGCTGCTCAAGATCCGCGGCGTCAAGGAGCTTAAGGTTCAGCTGGAGCCCAAGGATTCCTTCAGGCGGCTGGTGGAGGAGCGGACACATGGCGACACCATCGAGGGGCTGGAGGGGCGGTATGACATCGAGTGGGGCTGGAAATACTCTCGACAGCAACTTATTCTCAAGCGGCTTGACACCTGACGAAAGACGACAGGTGCGGTTTGGCTGTCTTGTATGCGCGCGCTTCTCCACTGCGGGTGGTGTCTATTGGGCTGCATTGTTGTTTGCCCGCCAGGTCACCCGGCCCATGCCGGCTGTAGAATGGTGCAGAGGGATGGAGGGAGGGATGTTGTGGTGCCATGGACTTGTACAGATCCATGTGAGAACCGAACGTTGAAAAAGCATCGAAATGTCAGTATACAATGGTCGCATCCGCCCTGCGTCGGCCCCGCCCCTCACACACAGCTACGTGCCATTCACTCATCGTATCATGGGCACCCCATGTACCGAACTGAACGCATCCCCCTACACGTGTCATCTCCCATGGCATTCCATCGACATGGCACAAAAAGTGACTGTCTCTCTCAGTTAACTATTGACACCATCTTCACCCATCCAGCTGCACCTCCACATCGTCCCTCGGCACCTCGCCCGCCTCCTCCTCGGCACACTCCTGGAAGTCGTCCTTCTCGCTCTTGGTGCCTGGCGAAAGGTCGCTGATCAGCGCACTCGCCTTTTCCCTCTGCGGCGACAGGAAACTTGGGTCTTGTGACAGAATGGAAGATGGGTTGGGCGGGGGTGGCGGGGGCGGAGGGGGTGGGGGCGGCAAAGGGGAGCTCCTGCTGCTGTCCGTCGACGAAATGAAGGCGGCTCCCTCGGGCGGCGTGATGAAGGCAGCGGGCATCGCCTCAAATGCGCCTTCAGATGGGTCGCCTCCCAGCACCAGTGGGGTGGTCTGCAGCACGTGGCTCTGACCCCTCGCCAGCTCCTTGCCCTTCTCCAGGACGGGCTGGGCCATCTTCAGCACCTGGTGGAAGAAACTGCCATCCTTCTTGGAGCGGTATGACGGCGGCATGCTGGACCTCTGGGGAGGCGACAGGCTGTCCTCCGTCTCTCGAATGATGTCCGTCACGGCCGTCTCTGTCTCTTGGGGTGGTGGGGGTGGCGGGGGAGGGGGTGGGGCCGAGGCCGGGGCGGCCTGCTCGGTGCTGCGATACTCGTCAAGCTGGGCGAGGGCGTTGGCAAGCTGCTCGCGAGATGTGGCGAGCGACTGGCGAAGTGTCTTGACCTCTCGCACCAGCAGCTAAAGTAACACCAAGGTCACACACATGATTACGTGGATGAAGGGTCCTGTTGGTGTGCGAGAGCCAGCGCTACCTTTTTCTGCGCGTTGAGGTCTTCGATGGCCTTGTTCAGCTCCTCCTCCTCAGCTGCATGGCGGGCAGCCGTATCCTGACCAGACAAGGATTGCGAAGAAATGGATGAACTGTGTGTGATCAGATCGGGTCATATCATTACCTTGAGCTCAGCCGTCAGCAAGTTGTGTTCGGCCCTCAGTCGGAAAGCCTCCTTATCGAGAGCACTCTTCTCCTCCTGCACACAGACAGACGGACCCATCGCACTTGATGAGTTAGTCGCCCCACAGTGGCTGGAGGTCGCGTACGGTGAGCGTTGCGATCTGCACGTCCTGTGTGTCCATCCGAGCCTCTATCTCACTCTCGCGACGCTGGAGAGCCTGATGATGACACACACCGACACAGATAGAGCCAAGTTGGCACTGATGGGAGTGCTCTCGGAGCTCATTCTACTGTTCCTGACCTCCTGCAGCTCATGAAGTGTCTTCTCCAGGTCGTCTCGCTCCATGGCTGTCGTCAGCAGCGCCGCCTCGCACTCCTGCAGCTTCTGGACGAGAAACGACTTCACCTGATGATTGTCCACAACACGATGAATCACCATGCATCGCCCAGCGTCCTTCTGTGGTGTCCATCCCTGCCCCTTTTACATACCTTCAGCAGGTTTTGCAGCTGTGCGTCTGCATCCTCTTTGGAGCTCTGCAGCTGCGTCAGCTCCTGCAGCACCTCCTCAGACATCCTGCCAGCGACCACAGAGGCACTGGCCTTGCTGCCCTCACTGCCGCCCCTGGCCCTCCTCAGCGACTTGGGCAGCAGCCGTATCTTGACCTTGGAGGACTTCTTGGCCTGCTGCTGGGACGGCTCGCCGCCCTCCTTGCCATTGTCGCCTCGCAGATCAACGGTTTCCCACTCGCGAACGTACCCGGGTGAGTTGTCCTCTGAGAGAGACGTGTAGAAGCTGCCGATGCCGCGCGCGCCGCCCTCTCTGGGTGGGTAGAAGGGACTGTCGCCAGCAGATGCAGACGCTGCGGCAGGTGGGAGTGGGGGCGATGGCGGGGGTGGCTGGGGTGGAGCTGGGTGGAGGTGGTCATGGCCAGAATGAGCCGACGAGGATGACGACGAAGGTATGTGTTCCGACGGCCGTGCCGGGTGAGCAGCTGAACACACGCAGCAGAGAAGACGGACGATTCATGATGCGATAGCGGACGGACACATCACATTCGGCGCATCCCATCCAGGCGGGCACTCGTGCGCTCCCACCTGCAGCTGTCGTCGCTGCCCAAACAGAACGTGAGGAAGATGAACCTGCGGGCAGACAGACAGACAGACAGTGAGAAAGAAGGTCGCTCTCCTCTCTGCCGCTGTGGTTGTGTTGTTGAGCAGTGCCTCGCCTGTTCGCGAGTCGGCTGCAGAGGACATCAAGATGTGTCGATACCCGTCACCTCAGACAGCAACAAAGGCGCAGATCTACAAGTACACGAGATGCTCAATGTCCTTGTTGCAGCTGCTCGAAAAAAGCCTTTCTTTAGGACACTACGTGAAACCGCTCTCTCTTTCTTTTTGAGCTCGCACTTCCCTCGAGCGCCAAAAACCCATGACAGCCTCTTCATCCTCATCACGTCTCCTGCAGTCGGCCGGTCGCCATGTGGACAGCATCTTGCAAGCCACCGAGGCAACGCTCTCCTTGGCCTCCCAGCATGACGCCAGCCAGGCAGCGGAGCTCGACAGGGCCATGGAGGGCTTCTTCGCCGCAGCCAACGGCCTCTCGAAGCTGCTGCACCAGCAGATCGACGCCATCGGCACCCCTCGCCACATACACCGCAACAACTACTGCGACCGGCTGACGGTTGAAACGCAGCGGACACGGCAGAGCAGAGGCGACAACGGCGTGGATGGCAATGAGAATGGCGATCAGGATGGTGGCATGCCGGGTCGGGGCTCGAAGAGGAAGGCGATTGGTGATGTGCAGGACGAGCCGCAGGTCAAGAAGGAGCGCATCGGCCGATAGGTTGATGGGCACATGAGAGGGGCAGGGACGAGCCTGTGTGGCAGGGGCACAGCAATTGAGCGAGGGCATTAGTACGGTGTGTGGAATAGCAAGAGATGAGTTGAGCTTTTTCTGTGTAGTAAGTCGGATTTGCTGGATGGATGTGTATGGCGACATGCGATTCGGTGTGTATCAGCCACGTGATGTGTGTGTCCGGCAGGCCAGTGACGTGCCGACAGACTATGAGGGACCGTGTGCAGTACGTGTGTGAGGCTATCCAACGACATTCACGTGAAATGTGTCTGTATGAGCATGACATGCAATGGAATGTAGTGAAATGAAAGCTACACTCGCAGGCTGGCCATAGTGAGTCGGTCAACAGCTGGCATCCCCTACCATCCCATCCACCACCTGTACAACACCGCCCGCCCTTCCCTCTGCTTGTCTGATCTACTCAATTGTCCGTCTGCACGTGCACTACGATCGTCTTCTCGGGCTCACTGCGGCAAGAAGGGCATCTCATCACCGCATACCGACGCACCTCCTCAGGCACCGGCTGGCCCGCCCCCTCCAGCCGCTCCTTCTCGGCCTTGGCCCTCTCGTGTCTGCCCTTCCACTGCTGCCAGCAGTCGGCACACAGGCACAGGTGGCCACAGGGATAGAACAGCACTGTGGGCGGGCTGTCGTTGCAGATGCCGCAGATGGGCCGGGGAGGGGGAGGCGGTGCCGCAGCAGCAGAGGCGGCCGCTGCTTCCCTGTCCTCCAGCCGACCCTCCATCTTGCTGGCCTCTCTCGCCAGTGCCCGCAGTGCCGCCCTGGCCTTGGTGATGTCGCGCTTGAAGGCCTCCACATCTTCAGGGGAGCGGAGGGATGACAGCCGGTGCTCCGTCAGGCTGCACACACGAAACAAGGAGGGGTGTTGGCGGCGAAGTTTGTGTGCGTGTCTGTCTACCCACCCTGTGAGTGCTCGCTGAAGCAGGTTGTCATGTTGCTCTTGGAGTGTTTGTGTCTTCGCCTCGGCGGCCGCAGTCGCCTCCGTCACCGTCGAGATGTCCGCCTCCAGCCTACAGGAGAGCCAAGGGGCAGCATGAACACACTCCCTCGCTCGTTTCTCCGTGAGTGTGCTCACTGTCGCAGCTTGGCCTCAGTGCTCTGCCGCATCTCGCGCAGCTGCCCCTCCGATGACACCGAATCGACCTCGTCAGCTATCTTGTCATGACGCGAGGACCTGAGTGGGTGCCGATCAATCACTTCTCTGTGTGTGTGTGTGGTGTCGTTAGTCACCTTTGGATGCGATCGTTGTTGCGCGCTACATCAAATGCTGCAGATGGGGACGGCAGGCGGCCAAACAGGGACTCGCTGCCGTTGTCGGCACGTGTGTCGCTGCTGCTGGGGCGGGAGGAATCGCATGCACGACAGTAGAGCTGGTCGAGCCGCTCGCCTTCGCGCGTGACCCTCTCGCCGAACTCACAGACCTCCGCTGCCGTCGTCGGGGCCATCAACGCATCGCGAGTCAACCTGAAGCACAACAGGAATCAGTAGAGATGATTCAGAGCTTTTTATCCCATCTTTGTACGTGTCTGGCTGCTCTTGCGTGGCTTCTGCGAGTGCCCCTATGGCAGCGGTGAGCTCGTTGGTCCGCTCCATGATGGTCGAGTGCCGCTCGAGCGCCTCGCCATAAGCACGCTCCATGCTGCAGATGGGTGACATGGACACACACATGACGCAGCCAAGCGTCCGCCCATCCCTCCGTCGATTCTTTGCTGACCTCTGCTGCTCCTCTATAGCCCTGCACACTGCATCTTTCAGAGGCCCGAGTGATGCCGCTGCTGCTGCTGCTGCGGGTGCGCCACTGGCGGAGCCGCCAGACGTCAGCGACGAAGAGGGCGGCATGGATGGCGGGCGCACCATGGCAGCGGTGGTGGCGTCGTGCAGCGATGCAGCGATGGCCATCTGCGTCTGCGCCTCATGCTCCTCCTCATCCCCACTGCACACCCAACACACAAGTGACACATCTGCCGCGGTGCAGATGCCTGTCTGGGGCAGGCAGCGGACCTGTCGTCTCCATCTTGCTGTGGTGGATGTTCCTTGTCGGCCGCCAGGGTGAGTGCCGCCCCAGCTCCGACCGATGCGGCCACCGCGCCGCTGACCGAAGCCGAATGACCAGCGAGACCATGGCCCTCTCGCAACACGGTCCCCAGGCCACTGCCGACCTGCCCAGCCGTGCCGCTGCCGACGCTCTGCAGAGGCTTGGCGGTGGGGGGCCGGAGAGGCTCAGCACCGGACGAACGAGAAGAAGGCCGCGTCGTGTCCGCAGACTCGGACATGGGCCTGCACATAGAGAGGATGCAGCACGTATTGGCGAGGGGTGACAGCTTGGCTGTGTTGTGTTGTGTGTGCTGACCTCTCCTGCTGTGTGTCTATGTCATCGCCGTCAGCACGAGCGTCCTCTACGTCGCTATCACCGTCATGCTCTACGCCCTCCTCAGCCACCGACTCAACAGACCTGCGAGAGCCGAAATGGATGACACAGCCCACCGTAATGTGGCCCCTTCCCCCTCCCTCTCTCCTTCCATCACTTACTGCGATTCGCCCCTGCCCTTGTTGAGCTTCTTCTTTCGATTCTTCCTCCTTCTGCCGCGGGGCTGAGGGTCCCTCTCCCCTGGGCCAGCACCAGCAGCAGATCTGGCCCAGAGAGACCCACACAGAGTCCATGGCACGTACACACAGCTGGCAGCCGTGCTGCGTTCCCGCCCGCCCACACACTCACCCTGCCTGGGGTCCGGCGGCAGCCACTCTGTCAGAGGCATCACGACCATCAACACACCTGACAAATACAAGCAAACGGTACACACCAATCAGTGGCGGGGGCTTGCCGTGTCGTTGCCCACTTACACATCATAGGAGCGCGCAGACTCAGCCACACTCGGTGGCCCTTTGCCCTTTCTAGCCTTCCCCCCGCCTCTGCCCTTGCCCGCCGTCTTGTCCTTCTCCGCCCTCTCGTCGGTCGCCATGAGGTCAGCTAACACGACTGCAGCACGCTCGTTCTCCTTCTCTTCGATCTGGTCGAAGAACGCCAGGACGCCGGCGAGAGGTGTCGCCCCACGAGCAGTCTTGTCGCTCCATGTCATAACGTAGGGAGCAGCGTCCTCCCCTGCTGCGCCGTCGGCCTTCTGATCTGACGGGGGGGAGGAGGAGGATGACGGCGGGCAAGAGGTGGGGTCTGGCGGGCTGCATGGCCTGCATGCCATCCATGCTTGATATCCTCACACACGTGTGGCCTTGTCGCTTCGTTGGCCTACTGGGATGTCTTCGCCTTTGAGTGCCCCTTGATCCTGCCCTTCTTGGCCTTGGGGCGCCTGCTGGTGTCTTGGACGTCGAGGCCACCGGTGCCGCAGTGAAGCTCACGCAACTTCTGGACGGACGCATTCTGGAAACAAGCAAAAGAAACCGTCACAGCTTGCCAAGCTGAGGACGCATGACCTAGGTTGCTCATCCATCAGTCAGTGACCTGGAGGATCTTTTGCGAGACCTTGTTGTACGGCGCATTGGGACGCACGCGGGACTCGCCATAGCTGGATGGAAACATCGAGATAAGGTACACACATGCAACAAACACATCACATGTGACCGTTATGTGTGTGGGCATCTCATATCGGGTCTGGATGCTTACACGACCATCCTGCCCAGGATTTGCCAACACCCTCCGACCAAACCTATTGGCGCCGGCGAATCGCTGGTCGTGGCATGTGCTGGCGTCTTCTCTGCGTGGCGCCTGAGCAGCAAATCGCACACGACCTCTACCGCACCGATGTCGATCATCATCTGCACACATCGATACAAACAAACACACACACACACACACACACAATATCCCACACGTGTGTCGGAGAGTATCACGAGACCTCCCTCCGTTGGCGGACCCGCCCACCTTGGAGTTTGCGAGTGTGAACACATCCATGACGCCGAGCACACGTGGGGTGTAGTTAAAGAACCCCCTGCTGTGCTGGCAGTGCTGTGTGAGTGCCATGATGACATCGGGGAAGCCCGCCTGAATCGCTGCAGCAGTGTGACCAGCGCCTGCACGCACACGCACAACAGTGGCACGTATGCCGGATAAGAGAGACTGTCTCTGCTCACAGATGAGTGCCCGTGGGATACAGACGGCGAGGCCAGAAAGGGCTCGACACTCATCCACAGCGCGCCGACTGTCAGATCGGTCTCCCGAGACCGTCTGCACAAGTGGCTCTGGCTCCTTGAGACCTCTCATGAGGTGGTCTGCGACGATCCTGAGCACTCGAGGGGCCTCCAGCAGTCGCTCACACAACCGGTAGAGCACGGTCAGATCAGCATCATCATCTACACGCGCAGACAGACAGACAGACAGACCCAGGCACCATATCATTGAAACGTGTGGGTATGGTATGCCAACCTAGCAGAAAGGTGTAGTAGAACATCAATGAGATCGCGATGGAGGCCCGCCAGCGCATTGAGGCTATCGCATTGAGGCTATCTGTGGAGCCGCCGCTGTCGAGGATGGCCATGCTGCTCTCGAGATGCGAGGACACAAACCGGGACAGAATTTCAGAGGCACCTGATGGATGGGGTCATGACAGACACAGATCTGGTCTGGTGGATGCCAGCTCTCTGTGTTATCCATCCATCCATCCATCCATCCATCGCTCACTTGTAGTTGATGCGGAGCTGATGCATTCGGCGATGATCTGGTTGAGGTGCCTGATGTAGGAGAGCCTGGCAGACCGGAGGGCATCGTCGCGCAGCAGCGCCTCACACAGGCATGGCAGCAGAGGCTCCCACGTCCTCGGAGCAGGCGGCGTCGGGAAGCGTCTGGAGAAGATGGATTCGATAAAGATGAGCCTGAGGATGAAAGGGTAGCCCTGCGAGTCCCTCTGCGACGCCAGGTAGGTCAGACAGGTCGTCACGATGTCGTAGTGCTTGCTGAGCAGCAGGTCGCGGGCACCCGAGTCGCCTGACTGAACCCCTCGCTGCAACACCTCTGAGAAGACGTTCAAGGCGACAGACACGCAGGCCTCGTCCTTGGCGCCGACCATCATGGCCACCAGACTGTCCGTGGAGCCAGCAGCAGACAGGGCCTGCGTGGTCAGCCACTTGGCGTCCGGAAGGTCTCTCTCTCGTGTGGCAGTGAGCGCGAAGAGGACAAACCCGGCAGGCCTTTCAGTCTCGCGTGAGGAGGACACCGCCTCAAGAAGCGCTAGCAGTGCCCGAGTATTGGCCTCCAGCAGACGCCTGATGAGGTCGGTGCGGTCACTCCCCACAAGATCCTTGCCGATCTCATCGGCGAGGGCGCGAATGCAGTCGGCTCGGGTTTGTTGGCTGCCACTAGCCAGGCCATCCACGAGTGCAGCCGCAGACATGGTCGAGCGTCCTGAAAACAACAAGCGAGGTAGGACAGCCAGCCAGCATCTCAGAAAGATGATGGTCTTCCATCGCTTGACGCGCCATACCTTGTCACGTGGCCCTATTCACGTAGCTGACAGGCCTCGTCCTCTGTCGGTTGGTTGCTGAAGAGAGAGGTGCGCTCGCCATGCCTGGACGAGGCGACGAAGAGAGGCCGATGATGATGGGGAGCGCCACGAGATGGATGAGTTGCGATGGCTTGTCAACCCATGGATGGCTCAATCGTCTTCAACAGAGGATCTAGCGCCCGCTCTCATCTCCCATTCCCTCACTGCTCTTCCCCCTGCGGCCGATTCGATCGCCCCGCAGCGGAGAAAATGGAAGTAGAGGAGGCGCTTCCCGTCGTGAGGACGCCCTTCGGGTTCGAGCAGCGATGCTCCTACAAACACCCAGACAGGTCATCACCCAGATCTGATGATTCGTCGTGCATCCAGCAGCTTGTGTGTGTGTGTTCGTGTTTGTCGATGTGGATGCCTGCAGGCACGACGAGGAGGTGGACGAGCTGACGCTCAGCAATGTGGTGGCGGCGCTCGGCCACACGCCAGGGGTGGAAGTGCTCACATTCCTCCTCGTCGGAGACCAAAATGCCGGCAAGTAGGCACCCTCTGTCTGCCGGCTGATGCCGGTTGATTCCATTCTTGATGTGTCGTGTTTGTTGGCTCGCCCTCAGGTCCACTCTGATCCACACGTTTTGCAACGCCCCGGACGTCAACTTTCTGCGGCTGACATCGTTCCTGCCCATCCTGTCGGCCTCCTTCCTCAATGTGCGGCTGCTGCAGGTACACACAGCTGGCGCGCAGGAGGGGTGCAGCGTCAGTTCTTGGCCGTTCGTGTGTGCGTGTGTGTGTGTGTCAGCCGGGTGAGGATGTGTCGGCCGCGAGAGATGAGCTGCCCTTCCTGGACACAGACATCGCCAGGTAACAAGAGTCTTCCTGGCGTCAGTGTTGGATGTGGTGCCGCCTCTCTGTTTGTGTCCGTCAGGGGTCTGTTTCTGCTGACGATCGACGATTTCTTCTTCTTCTGCAATGAGTTCGGCATCGACGCATTCAGACCAGCATGTGCCATGGAAGGTAGGTAGGTCGTCAATAAGTGAAGAATAATGTGACATACGTGACCCGACGGGATGGATGCCTTGTTTGGCGTTCAGGCTCGTCGGTGGACCAGTACTATGTGTTTGATGCAAGCACGCGGTTCGTCGGCATTCAGTTCCTGGAGCTGGGCGGCGACCACCTCGACAGACTCATGACGTTCGCCACACACCAACACGTACGCACACACACATTGCACAAACATGCACACCAAACAAGTGCATCCGTTGACCGCACATTCTCGCTTCTCATCCCGGCTGTCTGCAGGACGTCACCGCGGTGGTCAATCGACCTCTCTCTGACCCCTCTCCCGCCGACACGTCCTTCACTTCCCACCTGCAGGACGTCCTCGAGCGGTCAATGGACCTCCTCAAGACATCCAGGCGCACTCTCTACTTCATCAACTGCCAGACGCTCTTCGACCGCAGTCCACACACAGGGGTCCTCACCCTCAGCCACACGGCATTCATGCGGCTCCTGGAGAGGCTGGCCTTCCTGGCGTCGCAACTGGCGCACAGGGATGAGCGGCATGGAGTGCTCTTCTGCTGCTCGAGGCTCGGGGAGGGCATGGTAGATGTGGAGGCGAGCATCAAAGTGGTGCGGGAGGCGTGTGAAGGACGGGCTGGGTCGGCCGCTGCGATTGATAGCCTGTGGAGCAGCCTTCCTGGTCAGCAGCAGTGATTTTAATATGAATGAAGGCGCGGCCATCGTTGGATGTCTCTGTGCAGGTTACGGGCCCTCGTGGGAGGCTCCACCCGACGAGGGAGAGGTGACGACGGAGCCCTTTGCCGAGGACGTCGGCAGCATCTCACATGACGGCATCGACAGACTGCGCCGCAACCCGCAGTTCCACTTCCTGCAGGTCACACCAGACCAGCACTGTGGTGCATGCACCCTACTGCCCATCTTCTTTGAATGTGTACTGTGTCTATGCAGTGGGTCTTCCACTGTGTGCTGTGGCGCCAGCCATCATTCCCCTGGACAACGTCCCTCAACTTCCTCTCGCTCACAATCGCCAGAGCACTGGAAGACCCACCACCCGCACCATCACAACCACAACAACAGCCACAGCCGCCCCCCTCTCGCGGCCTCCCGGCCCCCCTGTGCGTGCCGTCTGTCGTCATGACGGTCGCCAGGCTCCTCAAGGCCAAAGCCATGCGCACAGAGGGGCCGCAGACACTGCAGCAGCAGCAGGAGGGTGCGGGTGATGTGGCTGGGGGGTTGCCTCCCGTTGGCGAGCTGGGCGCCCTTCTGCTGCACACTGTGGTAAACAGTGTCATGTGGCACCGTGACGCGGGCGGCGGGCGTGTGGCGCTGTGGGTGACGCGGAGGGACTTCCACGACTTCCTGGACCAGGCGGGCGAGGACGACGAAATGGAGACCGCAGCCATGAGCGAGCTGCCGCCCATGACCATGCTCAACTGGTGGGACAAGACCGTCGGTGCACTGGCCCAGATCGGCCTCATGGCGCACCACGGAGGCAGGGGCTACCCCAGGATCGCTGTCCGGCTGTCAGCGGACCCCTCGCGTGCTGTTGTCATCGCACCACAGACGGCCCCTGATGCCGGCGACCCCGATTCTGCTGTGGCCTTCCCCTACTACCCGGCCCTGCTGCAGGCCTTTACCAGCTCCCTTCTGACCATTCCCTCGCTGCCGCCTGACTTCTGGACGCAGCACGCCTCTGCTCAGCCGGTGTTGGCCACACTGCGGGGGCGGGCGATGGGCGATGAGGCACTCAACGGATTGCGTGAGGAGATTGGGAGGGTGGTGGAGAGGGCGGTGACGGACGAGGGCATGCTGGGCGGGGGTATCCACCTGCTCATGTTCCTCGCACATGACTGGCATCAGGTCGGCGGCTGGGCACCACGTGCATCCACCGCATCCATCCATCATGTGTGTGATGTTTGTCTTTCCCTCTCGATTTGTGTTTGTATATACAGGTGGCAATGTTGAGGGAGCCTTCCGGTGTTATTGCGTTGCTGCGGGTACCGCTCTCGGCTGCTGCCCACAGTGCGTGGCGTGCAGTGGTGCGTGATGTGCTGGTGGAGGGCTCACAGGCAGCGGCGGCTTTGCATCAAGAGGGCCTGCACGCGCAGGCTGGTGTGGGAGAGGGAGATGGTGACATTTGTGTGGTGTCTCTAGAGCTGTGTGGCAGTGGGAGCACCAGGACAGAACTGCATTGATGCTTGGAGACGAACAGACGGCGTGTGTACAGACCTTTATTTGTTATGGACCGACCTTCATGTGTTCTGTAAGTGTCTCATCCTCTCTCTACCACCCTATACCCATGCATGCATTGTGTCAGCCCATGAAGCGTCCATCCATGGAGCCACGGCCAGCCATCACCGCACTATTGAAATGGACCCTCTATGCTCGCCTCTCTGCGCCTGCCTGACCTATTATCATGGTGTCTGTCGGTGTGCCGGTGTTGGTGTGCAGTGCAGCAGAGCTCGGCGAGGCAGGCCAGGCCAGACAGGTGAGAGGCAGGCATGAGGGCCCATTCCGATTCGATTCGACCCATCCTTCCCTCTATGTCTTGAAAAAACAACGAGGCGCTTCACAAGACAGGCAGCCAGACCCACACCATCCAATCCATCCCATCGATGCATGCACTCATGGATATAGTCTACCTCTCTCTCCCACTCTCCCCCCCTCCCCCAGTCGGTATCCCTCTCTATCTATCGGTACTGATACGGCTGTGTGTGCGTCGGGTGTTGCTGTGGCTGGTGGACCTCATACCCCCCTCCACCTCCCCCTCCCCCTCTGCCCAGCCCACCGCTGCCCACAGGACCTCTGCCAACCACCCCCACCCCGCCATACGCAATCGGTGGACGCATTTGCGGCACGCCAAACGACCCCACAGCAGGCGGCATCACATACGCAGGGTATGGCGGCAGTGGGTGGAGGTCGCCCAATGGCTGCACGGGGGCCCCCCTGCGCCACACGATCATCGGTTCGTTGATTGTGGTGCCCCTCTCCTGTCGCGTGAGGAATGAGGGGATGCTCGACTGCGGATACATCATGTTCGGTGTGGGCATGGCGGGGCGGGGCAGCACTGCGGGCGAGCCCACTCCTCCATACTGCTGCTGCTGCTGGTGGTGATGGGGCTGGATGCTATCGAATGTCGGTGAAGATGGGTATGCGCGAGCCGGGTAGGGGCCACCGCCGGTAGGCGACTGCTGTATCATGTGCTGCTGGCTGTTGAGGTCGCCCACGGACACTGGGTAGCGACTGGCGAGGGGCGGAGGACGGTGGGGCGCACCTGGCAGAGTCGACACGCCATCCAGCACTGAAAGACAAAAGAAAGAAAAAGAGACACACATGCAGAGAGACAGTATGTATGGTTACGAGTGGCCACGTAGGTACCTCGCTCAGAGGCCGATGCGTTGTAGGTTCGGTGTGTCTGGTCCTCCACCTTGCCCCCATCGCCCTTCCTGCCCTCCACAGACCCCTTCCTCTGTCCGCCGTACAGCTCCAGATTGCCTGTCACCACATCCCTGGCCTCCGCCGCTATGATGCCCTTGACCGGCACAACCGCACCCACACCAACAGACAGGTCGAAACGCTGTGTCGGGCGGAGGGGAATGGTGGGCTCTGGCTCCACATGCAAAGGCATCTTCACCTCCTGCTGCTGCTGCTGCTGCTGTTGCTGGATGGTGGGCGACTTGACCTTGGGAGGGGCAGGTGCACGGCAGGGTGGCTGGTCCTGGCGTGAAGTGATGACCGGGCGGGGGATGTTGGTCGAGTCCCGAATGGGCAAGACACCACTGAATGAAACGGAAGGAGAACAGGCAAATAAGGAGGTGGAGGGACGAGGTATCGCTGTTCTTTGTTTGTTTCCTCACCGGTCCTCTCGGTATGTCAGCGGCCTATCGCCCACTCCGCCAGCCCTGAGAGCCATGCGGATGTGTCGCTGCCCGCCCTCGCCCCTGTTGGCGTTGCGGTACAGCGGTGTGGGCGAGGGAGCCCCTCGGGGCGGCGGGGGCGTCTGGTGCCGCTCGCGGGTCGTGAAGGCGCCTGAACCCACAATGGGGGCGGCCTTGGCGCCAACCTCCACCTGCTGGCGTATGAAGGGGTCTGCCGAGAACTGCGGCGTGGAACGGATGTGTTGGCTGGCGTTGTTTGCGGCTGCGGGTGGCTGTTTGGCTTTGGGGATGGGCTCGCGCGGCGGGATGAGGGCACCACCTATGTCGTTGGGAATGGGGATGGCCGAAGGGGGATGCAGATCACGCCCAACGCCCTGACAAAACATAAACCAACCAGAGAGTAGAATGGCAGGACTCATATGCGTCCTCCTCTCATTTGTGTGGTGTACCTGTGGCTGTCTGTTCTCCAGTGGCTTTTTCTTCTTCTCGCCGTCCTCCGCCTTGGGCACTATCGGTCGCCCCCTCCCCGCACCCACACCGACACTGCCCCCACGCATCTGAGGGCTCTCGCTCGACTCGCGACCACCGCCCAGCTTGCCTCTAGGTCCTCCAACGCCCCGGTCCCCCTTCTTCAACGCACCCAGCGGCCCATCCTTGTAATAGCTACTAATCGCCCCCAGCGCACGGGTACCCTGCCCCTGGCTGCCCACACGTGAGGCAGTGGTGCCCGTGAATGGGTTGCCCCATCGGCTGCCGAAGCTATTGTTGGTGTCTGACCACTGCTGACCGCTCGGCCGGGCCTTGGCGCTGCCGCTGATGCCCTTGGACACACGCGACGGGGCCTTGTCCTTCTTGCCCGCCGATGGCTCAGCCTCCTGCTGCTGCTGCTGCTGCTGTTGCTGCTGTGTCTGTGTCTGGCCGCCATCAAATGTGAAGTGGTTGCGTCCATCGCCATGGAAGGTGGCGACCGAGTGGTTGTCCTCTGACACAGGCAGCACCGGCGACCGCACCTCCCGGCCACCAGCAGCTGGCGGCCGGCGGGCAGGCCTGCGGTCGACGAGCGAGCCCCGGTGGTCACCGCTGAGCACCCGCTGACGCGCAGCCGCTGTCGCACCCTTGAGGTGTGGCTTCACCCCACCCACTGCTGTCCCTTTTGCTGTTTTGGGGCTGTTGTTGACGATGAGCTGCGGCAGTCGGCTGATGGCAGGGGTCTCCACCGGCTTCTTGCGGCCCACACGGTCGGGCTTCTTGTCACGCAGCGCCTTGGCATTCTCCTCCTCCCTGCCCTTCTGCTGCTGGTCGTCCTCACAGGTCTCCTCGGCTACCTTGTGGAGTGCCGGTGGTGGTGATGTGTCGTGTGGCGTATGCTGGTCGGCGTCATCCAGCTGTGGGGGCGGGAAGTTGGGCATCGGTGGCAGACAGGGGTTGTTGCCCGATGACGACACTGAGGGGGGCGCCGGGCTGTCGGGGTAGGGGAGCGCCTGCAGCCTGGTGCGATGGGCCTGCTCCTGCTGGGGGGCCAGGGGCGTGTGAGGCATCTGGTCGAGCACCGCAGGCTCACCTGATCCACCCACAAGAAGGAGACATGCATGATCCATCTCTCTGTGTGTTCGTGCCAATCCTTGATGGATGTACCGGTGTTGGGAATGCGTCGCTGTGCCGACCTTGTGGGCGGCGGCAGAGGTGCGCGCCAGCCCCCGCCCCCCTCCATCTCTACCTCTATGTCAGCATCCCGCTGCAGCCGACCCTGCCGGCCAGCTGTTGTGGCGCCCATGCCGCGGCTGCCGGATGACTTCAGGAGTGCCATCTCGTCATGGAGTGTCTTATTCTGCTCCTCCAGGGTCTTGATCTTCTCCTCGGCCGCCGACATGACGTGCTCCACATTCCTCTCCAACGCCTCTGCGGCAAAAGACAGCGACCGGCCGACACATCATGAGGGCAGTGCGTGGCTGAATGAATGGAGTCATGGTGCCTACTGTTCTGTTGGGCGTACTGCTCTCGCGCAAAGGCTGAAAACACACGAATGACAACAAGGGAGGGAGATGTCCGGCCATCCATCCCTCTCTCTCTCTCCCACACACACATCCGATTCCGTGGTTCCTCCCTTCCAGCCCACCCTGATGCAGCTTGCGCGAGGTCATGGTCTGGTTATCCCGCCTCTCCATCTGCCCCTCCCCTCCCAGCAGGAGCTCACCCACCGGGCTGGTGGCCTGGTCCACCACCACCCCCAGGCGCCGCTTGAGACTCTTGCCACGCCGCACACTGGGCACGCCCTCCTCCTGGTCACTGTCGTGCTCCTGTGGCTGTTGGTAGGGGTGGAGGGGTGCCGGTGTGGGGAGTGAGCTGTCGGGTGGCGGGGGTAGGTATGCGTCGATGTCTACGTCGAGGTCGTGCTGCTGAGCCAGTTGATGCAGACGGAGGATGTTGCTCTCCAGCTCTAACGAACGCTGCTTCTCCTACACACACACACACATACACACCGCAAGTGAGAAATGGAACAACGAGCTCCTAATGGTTCCTTCGTGTGGTCTGTCTGTCTGTCACCGTACCCTGGCATATTTGTGTTGCGTGGCCCTCATTTCCTGCAGCATGGTCTCCTTGACGGCCTGGTCCCGCTGCGCCATACGGCTGGCCTCCTTCTCACGCACCGCAGCCTCCCTGGCCATCCGCTGGGCCCTCTCCCTCTCACGGTCTGCCGCCTCCCGCCCCTTCTCGGCCCTCTGCCGCACCACCTCCGCCTCATGCAGCCGCATCTCCGTCGCACACCGAGCCGTGGTCTCGGCGTTGCGGCGGGCCTGCAGGTCGGACACCTCGCGAGCATGGCCCTCACGCAAACCCCTCACTAACGCATTCTTCTCCTGTGGGCGTGTGTGAGAAAGTTGCAGAGGAGAGGAGCGAAGTGGCCTTGTTGGTGTGTGTATGTGTAACCTGCCTACCTTTGCGCCTTGTTTGGCTGTCTTGATGACTTGCTTGCGTGCGAGCGCCGCCCCATAGTGGATGGCGCCCTGCCGGATACGGGAAAAGGACGGATCCTGCACACACACATAACAAAAACACCGTGGACCATCGTGCGCTCATCCATCCATCCATCCATCTATTTCTTTATCTGCCGTCAATCGGTCCTCGCTCACCCACCTTTGCATCCATAGCTTTGTTGAGGTATTCTGTGGGCGTGGGAATCGAGGAGAGTGGTGAGGGCTTCACCGAAGGCCCTCCCCTCCTGTCCTGGTTGTTCTGCCCGCTCCTCCGCACCGCCGCATTGATGGGCGTCATGGCCATGGAGCTGCCGGCGAGGCTGAAGTACTCGCTACCGCCCTCGCCCTGCTGCTGGCCGCTTCCCTGCATCTGCTGATCCATTACGTCATCCGTGCGATGAGCATCTGTTCCAAAGGAATCAGGGGCATCCATCCTCCTCCCCACTGTTACGGATCAACGGAATAAGCTAAGCCGCGGGTCTCCGGCGGCGGGCCGCATTATTTCCTCACACCCACATGAAATTTACGCGAGAATAGCCCGCAGGAAAGAGAATAGAGGCAGCTCCGCCAGTCAATGGATCATGCGTCCATTAGCTATGGCGGTGGCGGCCTCCGTCGGTGTTGGTGGCTGTGGAGCGGCCCGACAGAGCTCGATGGCTGGGCCGTGAAAAGGCAGATCTGTGCCCGCTGATGGATGGATGTGCAGCCGTGTTTGTTGTTGACCAAGCTTAGCTTAGCTTTGATTGATGTCGGCCACATCTTCGCAGCCGCCTGAGGAAAGACCTGCTAGTCAGGTCCGTCACGCATCACAAGTCGCTTACGTTCTCAGTTGTGTGTGTGTGCGTGTTGCAGATGGAGGAGGAGCGGCAAGAGGGTGACGGTGAGGAGCGGTGCCATGGGTCGTTCACCCTCGTGAGGGTCGAGGGCAAGGATGGCGACACTCCCATCAGCAGACAGCTGGCTGATCGGATCTTGACCCGCAGCCTCACGTGCGCCGCGGCCGATGAGGTCGGGGCGCTCGTCGACGGCGGAGCAGATGCCGATGCGGCAGCCGTAGTGCGTGGCGTCAACCACCGGGCCAGTTTTGCATGCACCATCCCCTTGGTAAGAATGAAACGATACCGACGATGTATTCATTGTTGTAGTGTGGTTCATGTCGACTCCTTATCTCCCTGCTGTCACTCGCGCAGCTGGCATGGGCGGTGGACAACCCCACCAACAGCGACTTCAGCCCCGAAGGTGTTCAAGTAGTGCACAGCTGTCTGTCTAACTGGCCGTCCCGAGAGATCCAGGCGGCCGTGCTGGAGGCCCTCATAGCAGGCGGAGCCGCAGTCACCAGCCAGGGGAAGGAAGCCCTCGGGGCGGCCCTCTACTTCGCCAACGTGACGGCTTTGGAGGTGCTCTTACGTCATGGTGTGGGTGTCCGACTCGGCGATACGGGGTTCAACGGCCCCTTGCTGTGCCCTCGACCAACGACCCTCCCAGCCCGCCCCAGCCCGCAGTACCAGAACCACATGCTGGCCATCTTTGACACCCTCCTGCAGCACGAACCAGCCCTTGCCACCGAGGAGGCTCCGGGGTCCAAGAAGACCCCCATCCAGTGGGCCCCGTGGCCGTTCGGAGAGATGTCGCGAGAGTTCTGCCGTCGCTACCTGGATCTGCTGTCGGCCCACGGTGCCTCTCTCATCGACCCGAACAAGAGCGGCAACACCCCCCTCACTTATGCTGTCTGGCATGGTACGCGGAACTTACTGTGGCATGCAAGTGGCTGGCTGGCCCGATACGTGGCCCTGTGTTGCCTGCCTGCCTGCCTGCCTGCCAGGTGCGGTTCACATGGTGGAGTGGTTGTGTGAGAGGCTGCCCGTGGCGCACATCACCTCTGCGCCGGTGGTCGACACGCTCTCACCGCTGGATTTGGCGGCCATCCCTCCTTTGTCTCGGCCCGACCGTCCGGAGGACGAGGGATGCACCGACTCCGAGAGGCGCAAGGAGGTCGTCCGCGTGCTCCTGCGGCATTTGGGGTCGACACAGCAGCAGGAGTCGGCGATCAGGCAGATGAACACCAAGGATCTACGGGTCCGGAGCGGAGCCCGATTCATACGCATCGTCCAGCGGGAGATGCAGACCTCGCCACAGCAGCCGCAGCAGCAGCAGCAGCAGCGACAGCCGAGCGAGAAGGCAGAGAGAGCGGCCGCCAAGCTGGCCGAGAGGCTGATTGCCGAGGAGGCGAGGGAGAGGGAAAAGGAGAGAAGAGCAAGCAAGAAGGGCGGCGGGAAGTGCAAGGCGGGCAACCACAAGCAGCGGCAGCAATCAGTCGATTTGTCGTCTGACGGAAGGGACGGTGAGGCCGACGGTCTGGGTGAGGGGGATGGGGAGAGGGAGCCGTCGGTGTCGTCAACCGCTCCAGACACCAGGTTGGGTGGGTGGGGCACACAGGCAGGCCAGAAGGCATTCACTTATGGCCGGTAGGTTGCATTGGTTGTGTCTGTCTGTCCGTCTGTCTGTCTGTCATATCTTCAGGATGTCCACTGGGGCCGTCAGTACTAGTGACGCTGAAGAGCGGCCCACCTCGTCCATCGACCCTTTCCTGTGAGCACATGACACGACTGTCCGTCTCCAGGCGGCGTTGGCTAATGTCTGTGTGTGTGCCTCTATCGATCTGATCTGTAGGGGGCCATCGGGTCCATCTGTGTCTAGTAGCTCTTCTGCAAGCCCGCCAGCTGACCCGCTCGGCCACGGCGATGGCGATGATAGTGACGGAGGTTCAGAGTTCATACCGGTCCATCGCAAGCACAAGAAGAAACACAAGACACACGCCCAGCAGCCGACCATCCCACCACAGTCGCCACTCGGGTACGTATGCAGACGTCTTAGACAGACAGACAGACAGACAGGCAGGCATGCGCCGATGCATATGAGTGTCTGTGTGTGTTCAGTCGTGATGGTCGTCCTCTGCCGTCGTCGTGTGGCGGGCATCCTGGTCCCCAAGGGCTCTCTGCTCGCGGACTTGTCGACTCACACATACACCGGTACATACGTAGAATTGATACACACTGGTGTATGCCGGTAGAGAGACAGCTTGTGCGTGCGTGTGTCTCCTGTGGATGCGTCAGTGGTGCGCCTCCCCTCGTCCCTACGGCTGCCATGCCACCAGTACAAGTATCATCGCCATCGTCAAACCTACCACTGTGAGTGGCGGAACAAAGGGCCGTGCGTGGCTCATGTGTGAAACACGCACACAGTTTTGCGTCTCCACCCTTCCTTCAGATCGTCTGCAGTAGACCCTCGACCGGCTCGTCCGACCGGCCCCGGTGTGCCGGCTGCCTCATCGATGTCCGGCACGAGCACCAGCAGCAACAGCAGTAGCAGCAGCGGGAATCTGCCGCTCCCGCCCCCTCCCTCATTCCCCCCTCCACCTCCCCCCACACGACCGGCGGCACCGGCTATCGGGCGACTAGGCATGGCCCATTCCTGTGCCAGCGCTCGGCTGGTGAATGACCTCCGGAGGCAGCTCGAGCAGAAGGAGCGGGATGCCAGAGACGCCAAGGAGAAGGAGGAGGGCCTCATGCGCCAGCTGCAACAGACCAAGTGGAAGTGAGCGACAGGAGAACCCACATCGATGCATGTGTACATCATGATGCTGCTGTCTGTGTCTGTCTGTGCCCGCCCCGGTCCCCAGGCTGGCGCAACTACAGCACCAGCAGCACCAGCAGCCCTCGCCCTCATCATCCAGTAGCGCGGCCCCGTCTGTGTCCCCTCCGTCTGCCACAGCCGACTGCACCATCTGTTTCGGCGAGCACGGCCCTGCGTCGGTCATGTACATCCCCTGCAGACACATGCACATCTGCACCAAGTGCTACGCCGACCGCAGGGCCGCATGGCAGCTGAGCCTCCCCCGCATCAGGGCGGCGAATGCGAGACGGGCCGAGGAGAACAAGGAGCGCATCAAGGAGGCCAGGGAGCCGCTGCCGATGCGGCCCGAGGAGTACCTGTGTGAGCAGTGCAAGACCGAGGTGGTGTTTGCGGGGTCGGTGGATGAGGTGGCGCGGTGGGCCGCCACCCCCTTTGTGGGACAGCCTGGCTGATGCATACGTAGCAGAGACAGAGAGACAGGGAGACAGGGAGACAGGGAGAGAGGGATGGGTGGGTGTCACTGCCTTGAGCTGCGGGCGTTGTCGAGTGCTGCTACGTACCGCCTGCTGGGTTCGAGATTCGTGTGTGTCGGTGGCTGACTCAGCTCAGCTCAGCTCATACGAAATGGGCCGGGCTGTAGCCGTAGCGATAGAGAAGGAAGATGCTTTCCGATCTTCCGCATATCTGTCCGGTGCACGTGTGCGTCTTCTCTTGTGCCCTGCCTGCGCTGAGGCGAAGGTGGTGTGCAGTGCATCCCTTCAAGCTCTGCACGCCACCGGCGCCAAGCTTGGCACTTGTGGAGGACACAAGAGCCCGCCGCCACACCGTGATTGGGAGCTCTGGGCAGTGGCAGGCGTGCATGCGTACGTACGTACGTACGATGTGATTGATGTTTGTGTGTCGATAAAAGATGACATGACGACATGACCTCTATGTGTATTGCCTCAACTGAACTGCCCAGTCCACGAGTGACTGAGAGCTGCCCCACGACATAACATACATACAACACACACGACGCACTACGTGGCCCTCCGTTGATTGCCTCTTGCCTCTCTCTCGACTCACTCACTGCCCACCACAACCAACAAGGATGGAAGGTTTCGTGAATGTGTGTGTGCGTGTATGTGACGAAGCCACAGACAGACCCACCCGGAAGAAACCATTTCCTTCTTTGATTGCGTTGTCTTTCTTGTCCGTCCGCTTGTCCCATTCATTCATTCATCAGTCGCATGCAAGGCAAGCACTCCATTCCATCCGCCGCACCAGCCAGGACAGCCATGCCGACCACTCATCCAAATCCAGTGAGTGCCTCACAGTCTCCTACCTGTCGTCCACCCATCCACACACACAGCCGGCTGTCCGTCTGTCTGTCTGTCTGTCCACGCTCAGGGATGCAGGCAGCCAAAAAGTCGTAGGCAGACACACACACACACATACATACACACACACATGTAGATAATTCTGTCTAGGTTGACCAAAAGACAAGACGGACAGGGGGGAGGGGGAGTGGAGGGTGTGAGCCAGCACACAAAAACCTGCGTCTTGCTCACGATCGGGCAGCCAGGCAGACATGAACGTACACCACGTGTGGCCGTCCCTTCGATGCGGTCGGTCGGTGAATTGGCACTTGGTTACTTATACAGCCAGCAGGCGGGCGGGCGGGCGGGCAGGCAATCCGACAACAG